GAGTAACAAACATAATCAATGATTCCTGAATCAATAATTCATTCACTGATCAGGCCTAGATATGCCCATGTCTGGTTCTTTTCATCACCTCTGGGCAATTTTTCTTTCTGTATCCCTTCAGTCTGCACTTGAGGAACTTGCCTTGCAGCTTCTTCATAGCAACTGGTTTGACAACTGATAGCCAAGTCATTTTGTTCTTGTTACCACCCTTGGATTTCCCTTTGCATTCTGTCTAGCAGAGCTGCTAGACGCAACAAACATGTCATTAGGAGTCTGAAGCATTTCTACTCCACTCTTAATCATGTACACTTGCTTCTGCAAGTATTTGGAAAGACTGACAATAATATAGCAGCGAACTACCATATCTGCCCTTTCCTAATCTGAGAAATGCATCTGCGATTCCTTAGACGCATCTTCTGCAGGTTGCTATGGCCCTCACATTGTCAGGACAAATTTTAGCTTCCATGTTTTAGAACAATATCAAAAAATTTCTTTTCACTTATTCATAGTTGGTACCATCTAGAGGTTTTCGACTCAAAATCATTTCTAAGATATTTTCTGAAAAACATATAAAGCACACAATTACAAACAAATAATGCAATAAACAAACGAAGTGCGAGTAGATTCTCATAACTACTCTTGTTTATTGTTAACAATCCTTCAGTTTATCTTTACAAGGCTTACGATGGGCAAGTCACTTGTAAAAACCAAAATTGTTATTTGGGCCTTCAGTGCCATTGCCAGAGCCTCGATGGGAGGGTTAACAATTTTACCAAAGTTGAATGTAATTAACCATTGTTTAATTTCAAAATTATCCTTAGTGTCTAAGGATTGCCGACGATGGGCCGTACAATACTTTACTAAAATTTTGAAATTATTAAGATGTAATCTAGTGAAATCTGATTATCCTTATCCGATGGGGCTTCAGCGATAACCATTTCACTAATAAACCCACAAATGGAGCCCGCAGGTTTTAAAATTAATTAATTTTTAAAACCTTCACCCATTCAACATTTTTGTTTGAGAATTTTCATAAGCCCAGTCGAATTCATTGTTTAATTTCAAAATTATCTTTAATAACTTAGTATTATCGACGATGGGCCGTATAATACTTTATTAAAATTTTGAAATTATTAAGGCCCAATAAAATCCAATCATGCTTATCCGTTGGGGCCTCACATGATTATTTTATTGATAGGCCCACAATGCGCCTGGAGGTTAAATTAATTTCTTAATTTAAATCTCCTCCCATAGATATTTAAGTCCAATCTAATAAGATCCAATCATGCTTATTCGATGGGACTTCACATGATTATTTTATTAATGGTCCTTATAATGCGCTTGAAGGTTAAATTAATTTCTTAATTTAAATCTCCTTCCATTCAACATAAGCAACATTTTCTAATTTCCAAGAATTATTTAATTGAGAGTATCCTTTGTTTGATTTTAAAAACTATATAAGAGCACCGATAAACGTGCACTAAGCTTAACATAATTTTGAAAGCATTAAGGTCCTGAAATCCGGTCACTTTACGTCAGCGTGTGCTCCAAACAATCATGATACATGAATGTTGTATGCAGCGTGTGTTATTCCATGACCATTTCAGAAAACCCACAAATTACTCGCAAAATAAAAGAATTCTCTTAGGAAATTTTCTCTAATTATTTTTCTAGATTTAAATCATCCAAATAGCTGATTTAATTATTAATCTAGATTGCAACAATCATAATAATTATCATTTATGAGGATAATTTGAAATCAAAATAATTTCCATAACGATTATTTGTCTTGATGTTAATTATCCAAAATTAATTAATTCAATTATTAATCTAGATTTTTAATAAAAATCATAATAATTATTAATTAATTTCTTAGGATGATTTAAAATCAAAATAATCCCATAATAACTGTCATACTAGTCGCTGAAGACATAATAGCTATTATGCTCATGCAATCATACAAGTTATGCAACAATATGGCACCACCTATTCTATATGGCATGTTATCGCAATAAAGCATGTTATCTATCATATAATTTATACCAATCAATAAAAGCATTAAATAATAAATCATAATTACTTTAATCCATGGCCTTCCTATTTTAAAGAAAATAAAATTAAATAATACAACTTTGGAATTCGACTTTCGCCTAGCCCATAGTATCTGTCTCAAGCCCCTTTAGGGTTTCATGGGCCCAAAAGCCCAAAGACCCAATCCTTTGGCGAGAAACCCTAGGACGCGAAAGAGGAACCCTAGCCGTCAGGTCTGCCGCGCCGTCACCCGAAGTCAAATCAGGCTGAAACTCCAGGGGAAGGACCGCCACGTAGAGACGAGTGCACCGCCGCCGAAACCACCCAAAAAAGGTGGCCGTACGCTCCCTCACTCTCCCATTCTTTGCCGGAGAGTGGCGGCCACTCTCAGCCTCTTGTGGAGGCGCGTGGTGGAGCGTTGAGTCTCCGATGGCGGTGATCCACCCACCGTTGCGTTCGTATTTCCGTCTTCTTTCCAACCATATATAGATCGCCCCATTCCGAGATCGGCAAGTCCTCAAAAAGTCTCCGACAGTACTGACTGCGCATCTTACTCGCGGTTTCTCGATCTTGAACTTTTACAAAATATTGAAAAAAATACACAGAAATTCCAAAAAGAAACAAAAACAGCAAGGAGGAAACCTAATCATATGAGATTAGCCTCCTTGTTACAAATCGAGAAATACACGAGAGACCCTAACCATGGATTAAAGCATTTTTACCGATTAAAATTTAAACTTTTATGAAAATGAATTATAAAATACACATGCTAGATTCATACCATAATCCTAGAACCCTAGGTGCCACATTTCAAGAAGCAAAACTAATTACATGAATAGTGAAACTAGATTCACATACCAATGTACAACCAAGGCTCTGATACCAATTGTAGGAAATCTTAGATTTATGCGGAAGCGGTTTAGGACCTAGTACATTGGTATGCTTACCGAATCATCCTTGTTTCACAATTACCTCTCGGTGTGCAGGTCTCGTGTAGAATCTTCCCTTGTAGGATTCCTCTTCACGAACAGCTCACCTCAGCGCCGCAGCACGAACAACCTCCTTGAAGCTGGACTGTGGCAGATCTTCCAAACTATCTCTCGAGGAGGAAGGGGAAGTGTGTGGGCACTGATTAGATTCAGAGCTTGCCTCTTTCTCACAAAAAAGACCTTTGAGGCTGATGACTTAAGAGGTACTATTTATATGGGTTCCAAGAAACCCTACCTCATTGGGCTCTAGGTTCCTTGGGCTCTTCTCATACTAATAACCCATTTGGGCTTTAGTAAAAGAGCAAACCCAACAAAAACATCACCCTAAACTTCTATATATATTAATCCTAACTTAAGATACCAATGGGCTTGGATTATTTATTATATGTCCATTAGTAAGCTAAACAAAATTAATCTTTTCAATTGAGTAATTTGCTTCACCATTTCTCTAGACTTATACCTTCCACATAAAACATTGTTTCTGACGAATCAGTCTCAGACTGCTAGCTCTTCCAATCCACGAGCATTTGTAGTACATTTTATGAAAAAAGACCATATGATCAAAATTCACATCAGAGCACCACTAAAGATTTCAAATTGCAAAACATATCATGATGAAGTTGGTCATTACACACATTTTTATAGCTGCGGGTATTCAGACAGGTTCAAACATTGTAATGTGTAAAATGCAAACTGTTCAATCAAATTAATGTATCAAGAGACAAATTAAAAGTAATTTGAAGTCGTAATCATTTATGATAGTCTTCTTACTATGATTTCTCCAATCACGTAATCAAAATAGAGACAACCTTAAATTAATGAAAGGCAGATGAATCGGTAGATCAACAAATGAATAGGGAGAGTACATTACTATAATTTCACTATTAACTCAAGCTTTGTTTTAAGATATTTCTTTCTCTGCTGAAAACCGATGTATCCGGGACCCTGTACCTTCGGCCATTAGCTCCAAATTCTCACATGTCAGTTCCCTCAAAGCAGCTGTGTACACACTCATGGTAGAGCTGTCATTGTACAATCACACAATAACACACTCAGAAAGCCAAACCAAATGGTTGTTCTTGTTTAAAGTAAGAGCAATGCTTGGAGAAGAAAATTTCAGAATGTATGAGCAAATATTGGTAATTAAAGAAGCTATCAATTATATACCACAAACCACTTGAAGTTAACTGAGGATATGCCAGTACCTCTAGCAAATCTGGATCTGCATGATAAGACAGTACACTACCACTATCTGCCTCATATTAGATTACATGAAGACATAAGAACATCCTACACCAAGAAATTTAAGCTACTCATCACACAAAGGATTAGCCAAAAGCTATCAAGGTTTAACAATTGAACCTAAATAAGCCGCCATTCAGTTAAGAGTGCAAACAAAGATTTGTGTATCTGAAATTAGACAGGATTCTCTGAATACTATAACTTGATAATTTTCCTCTCAAGGTTTTCTTTAAAAGCATAATTATTGATTTTCTTTAATTGACAACTTGAGCGACATAACTGCTTATATAACTTGATAAATGACAAATCTACTCTCATATGCTTAAGTTCTTTCACATGGTTCAAACCAATGACGTGTTCCAAATTGACAACAAAACTTACTCCAATATCCTAAAACAACTTAGACTAACCATTTGGAGCAGAATCGCAATATTAGAACATGCTAATAAAATAAAAGAAAGAAAGAAAGAAAGAGATTGCTGACTAATTAAGGATATTACTTGGTCAAAGCAACACATAGGATACAAGTACCACAAGAAAGAGAGAGTGGAATTAACAAGGTGGCCTTGACCAGGAACTTATGCAAGGGAGCAAAGCCATATCAAAATGGCAGTTCTTCTTCAAAATTTGCACTACATTTGAGAAAAACACACTACAAGACAAAAAAATACATCACTGCACCAATAGATATTTCAAATTGCAAAACAAATTGTGATGAAGTTGGCCATACCACAAATTCTATAGTTCTGAGTATTCAGACAGGCTCGAAAGTTCAGAATCAGTAGAATTGAACCTGTTCAAGTAAATTAACATGCCAAGAAACAAATCAAATGTATTTTCAAGAGATATTTAATCATGAATGTTTATCATAGTCTGTTAATATAATTCCTCCATACACAAAATCGTAATAGAGGTAGTCTTAAATCAGGGAAAAGCAAATGAATTGGTGGATCAACACATACCATAGATTATCTTCAAACATATTATTTATTGTTTCATTCAGGTCACCCTCCCAACGAGATTTTCCTTTATTTTCTTCTATTTGTACTCCTTGAAGATCTGGTGTGCTCGTGTCTCCAAAAGAAAAAATCTCCATTCGAGGACATTCCTTTATAACAACTTCTTCCAACAATGGAAACTTAATGAAGCACTTACATGAGCAAAACCTGCGAAGCCTTGGCAAACAAATAAGTTCAAGAGTTTGCAAATTTAAAAATGCAATCTCATTGTTTGTCTCATCTTCTTTTCCACTCACTACATCCTCTAATAAATCACACTCTTTAATCTTCATTGTTGTGAGCTTGACCAAACTCTTTGCTGTTGAGCATGCTATCAAATTTATCAGCCCAATGCAATTTGTGATCTCCAAATTAGTCAAGTAATTAAAAGTAACAGAGGAAGGCACCAAATTTATCAAACTAGAACATTCAGAAACATCTATGCTTTCAAGACATTGAAGAATGGGGTCAATTTGGAATCCTTCTTTGCATATATGTTGAAGTTCATGTAGATAAAGTAATACCAACTCTTTAGGCAGTGCGTTAATCTGGATTTGTCTTTCCTCATCTGTAAGACCTTCGTCTTGGAATATCTGCATGAAGTGACTCCCTCCGACCGCTAGTCGTTCCAAATTGGGTACATTTTTTATGAACCAATACGGAAAAATAGCTTCTTCATCGGTGAATTCCATTACCGCAATAGTTTTAAGTTTGCTGAATTGGTCCCCTGAATATTGGCTTTGAAATATAAAGCCAAAATCTTTATCATTCAACGTCAACTCCTCCACGTTAGCAAGTACCTATTACATAAACAAAATTAGAACTAAAGAAATCTAGGGCATGGTTTTTTTTTTTTTTTCTTAAAACTGTTTTGTAAAATAATTATGGAAACAGTTGTTTTCTATGTTTTTTTTGTTTTGTAGTTAAAAACCAAAACAGAAAATAAAAACAACTCAGATATGTTATCTAAATTTGATTCTAAAAATAAAAAAATAATTACATTTTTTAAATTTTATTTTACAAAACAAACATTACCAAATGAATTTTTTTTGTTCTGAAAACTAAAAATTGTTTTTAAAAACAGTAATGAAACAGAGCCCTGTATTTCCCTTCTCAGTTCGGAACATATATATATATATTACTAAATAGAATAAGAACAAAATTACCAATGAACCCAACTTAAAAAAGGATTTGTTTTTCTCACAATAACGAGTCAACTGAAGACAAGTACTTTCAGTTATAAGTAGTGTAGATATTTTGAAATATTTCTCTTTGCAAAGATCAATATAAAAATAAAAATAAAATAAAACTGGGGCATGTAAAACTTAATTACCACTGTAAGGATGAAATTTTGTGATACACATACCTCTTCAACTGTGAAAAGAGGTTGATAAGTTCGGACACGGAGTTAGTCATCTGTAGTTCTTTCTGGGTAGCTCATTGGCTGTGTCTTAAATAGCTCCAACTTTGGACATTTGAACATATATATTGTTTTCAAGGATTTACATTGAAGAGAATGGATCCCACCATAAAATGCCTTGAGTTTAGGCAAATTTGTAAGTACAAGGGATGTCAAATGTGGAAACACAAATTCAATTGTCTCCTCTATTCCCTCTTCCTTGGTAATTATTTCTTCAACCCCACATTCATCTACAAAAAGTTCCTGAAGTTGTTCAATATCTCTCGCTATTGAGAGTGGAAAGAGACTAGTTAAGATTTCACATTCCACAACGGATACTTCACGTAGATTCTGAAAGCTCAAAGTTCCGTGGGAATCTTCCTTCCACACATGCTTCAGTTTCGGAAGGCTAGACAATGTTAATTTTTTTAACCGACTAGAATTCTTCATTAGAATTTCTGTAGCAAATTTCCCTTTCACATCAAACACTACTTCTAATGAACTACAGTCGCTTATGTCTAGTTCTTCCAAGTTAGCCAATACTTGTAGTAAATTTGCATGAAAGAGTACATCAGATAAAAAATCACATTTATGAACAACTAGATGCGTCAAATTTTTGAATATGTTGCCCTGAAGTTTGACATACCATAACTCTTTCAGCTCAGGATATTCAGATAATTTCAAATGCATGAAACTACAAAATGCCACCTGCGCAAATGATTTGTATTGACTTAGATGAAATAAAAGGCTGAAAAATTTACTCAATTGTAAATTATAGGTGTGTAACTAAACTCTTTTAACATTTGATAACACTAGCCTTTTCAATTCCAAATTAGGATAAAGAATCTTTTACATATTGAAACAAGGATGTTAATTGGAAAATCTAGACTTATAATATGCCACTAGTAACAACAAGAATGCATGAGTTAAGTTGAAATTCCAAGCGTTTAAAAAAATTTATAATTGTATAAAAGGAGATCTTGTTGTAATGAAATTTCGATTCAAGTAAACATTTAAACAAATTTTTTTTAACATAGTAAATGAATGGTTGTTACACAGTAGAAAAGAAGAGTAACGATGATTTAGAATTGGATTTGTGTCTCTCTTTCGCTTTCCTATTTTTTTGTAGAAGATTGGGATATCATGATATAATCCAAAATCTGTTGGTTAGCTTCAATTTTTATTATGTTGAAACTTAAAAATCAATCATCCAGACTCCAAAGCAAGAAAAACAGCAAAAGCGACAATGATTTATTGGTACATAGGAAATCAATTATTAAATCAAAGCATACCTTATCTTCAAACATTTTCTTTGTTGTTTCATTCAGGTCACCACCCTCCAATCGAGATTCTTCATTATTTTCTTCTATTTGTATTCCTTGAAAATTTGGTGTGCTCGTGTGCCCCAAAGAAAATCCTTCCATTCGAGGGCAT